TAAAATAAGTGCGATAAAATTCTATTTACATATTTCTTTCCTTGCGAAAGTTTTTGTCCGTTTTTATCACACTGCCATGCCGGTCGCATTGTGCCAGGTCAGGTTTTACAGTGGACCAGTTTCCAGTGCCGAGCAGAAGTGTATTTTTAAATCATTTTCGAACTGCCCTTTTTGATTTTTTCTTTACAAAATTATATTTGTAAGGGTCCCCTGTACATCCAGAATTTTTTTTTTGGATAAGTTCTGAATCACCCTGTATAGTATCGCACATCACTGCTGTCAGAGTCCTCTATTTTTCTAATGTGAATATGTCACAATTTTCAAAATTTCGTTATATTGTTATGTAACGTTATCGGCTTATAATATCACAACAATAGGTTTTATAGAAACATGATTTGTATTGTTTATTAATGTATCGTTTGTTTAATTTAAAATTGAATAGTTTCAGTAAAAATTTAAATATTTTTTTATTTTTAATTTTTTTTATGACCAAATTATTTTATGGTTTTTCCAAAGCAATAGATTTCATTGTTATTTTTCAAGTTAGGGATTCCATCATACTATTTAAATTTTTTTTTAGTAAGAGCAATTTTGAAATATTTTCGCACATAAAAGTTTCTATCGTGATGAAAAAATTGTGTTAAATCTAATAGTTTTTCAAATTAAAATAAAGTATCGGTATATATAGATTGATTTATAAAAGACAAATAAGAATTGAAAAAGATATACTTATTTTCTGTCACAAAAAAGTTAAATTTGACGCATGCGTAGTATCTCCTCAAATTTAGAGCTATAATTTTAAAAACAATGGGCAATTAAAAATGATTTACGTATTTGCTTTTTTAAGTATCGCCAAAAATGTTTCCATAACTTGAATTTTTTTGTCACAATTTTGGGGAAATTTGTAATAAACCTTATAAAATAATCTACACTTTTATTTTTGAATTTTTTCTAAATGTTATGAAAAGTGAATTAGTATTAGTGAGCAGTGACGCTTATTGCTGACTACCCCGTCTGTACTGTATATACTTACTTTACTATACTGAAGGTCATAAAGATTTGAATACTTGTAATTGAAAAAAATTTATGTGTAATAATGGTAACAGAATCGTAGAAAATTTTATTATACCTATAAGAGTAAAAGTTTTATTGTTCAATATTATACTACCCTGGGAATAAGCTGAAGCATATTTTCATCATTTCAGCTGTAATCTCTTTTCTACGAAGGATACTTAACTTGTACATCTACAAATATGAACTTCTTCTCAACCTTTAATGAAACTAGTTGAGTAAAGTTATTACCAGACTGTTGTAGACATAATATACCCCTAGGGTGCTTCGTTTGCAACGAAAATATTTTTTTATTACTCATGGGGGATAAGCCCTATCTTTTCGTTTGCTTTTTAGGTCGGTAAAGAGCTGTTTGTCTACTTTATTTATTTGCGTGCGGTAATCACATTTATCACTCGCGAATTGACAATAAAGCACGCAGAATTTAAATACCTATACACTCGAAAATATTATTTTTAAAAAGTGACTTTAGATGACAATTGATATTTATGTCAACTTAAACTGGAGATTTCATCGCATTCGTAATAAAAAATAGTATGTGCAATTCGCCGGTTGTCTATTGCCAACTTGAGTTGTCTATTGTCCGCTCTCGTGGACAATAGACAACTTATTGCACAATATACTATTTCTTCGCCCCAATTGTTCTAAATATTGGGAAAAAAATTCTTACCAAATTTCAGCTTTTAATTTTAAGTAGGTACTCACTATTTGATTTTAAAATTTTCCTATTCATTTAACACGTAAACCTATTTTTTTTTAATTATCTATATCTCAGCTGCATTTCACGTTATTTTATTGTCCATAGGCCACAATTGTTTCACTGCTAAAAAATCGTAAAGTTAATTTTTTATCGATTTTTGCATTTTTCTCATAAATGAATAGACTTGCAGCAAAAACGTAAATGACAATTTTACAGGAAATTAAATTTCTATAAAAAATATCCTCAGTCTGTAAGCTTAGTATTTTATACAGCAAATTTAAATTCCAATAAAAATGCCATTTACGTTTTTGCTGTAAATCTAGTTATTTATGAGAAAAATGCAAAAATCTATAAAAATTAACTTTAAGATTTTTTTAACAGTGAAACCGTTCAAGTCAGATCCTATTATACTATGGGACAATAAAATAACGTGAAACGCAACTGAGATATTGAAAAGAAAAACGTAGGTTTACGTGTTAAATGCAAAAGAAAATTTTAAAAATCAAATAGCGATTACTTAAAATTTGAAATAAGAACTGAAATTTGGTGATTTTTTTTTTCCAATGTTTAGAACAATATTTCGTCAATATAGCGAGTAAAAAAGCACCCTAAACCCACACGTAATGATTCCCGAGTGCCCATGAATCCTCAGTATTTGACTATTCGTGAATACTATTTCCGAGAACCGAATATTGAATACATATAGAAAAGCGATGAATACGAATACTGAATACGGTGAAATAAGTTTCCGATACTTTAATACTCATTACACAAATATTCTAACGATTACTTCTTATGAATACATGGTACTTGAGTAATATCCAGTTCTGTTTGCACCTCATCTAACTTTAAGCTTATAAGGAGGCACCACCGTTTTGATAGTGACTTCTTCAAATAGCTTCGAGCTTCTGCGATATCAAGACGTTTTCTGAGTTTGCAATGTCTAATTAGTAGTCCTATTGGTCTTTACTTTGGTTCAGTCCGCTGTCAGTTTCTTCAGTGGCCCTTCTAAGAATTTTTGGGTTTGCCTTTTGCTACCATTTTGGGATTTCTTCATCTTTCGCCTGTTCTTAACATAACACAGTTATGCCGCAAGATGATTTAGATCCTGTAGAGCTGTAGATGAGCTTACTATGGCAAACGCATCAACCTTCTGATAATCCTTTTGTCCTAGTGCCCAGGTTAGAGTCACATAATTTTGACTTACTAGCTTAAAACATTGACATAACCTCGCATTATTATTAGATCTGACATAAGTTGATTGGATATAGCTCTGCCTATCTGTTGGATTAAGTGACAATTCGTTGAAGCCTTACATTCCTCTTATTCCCTTTTTGCAAAGTACCTGATATATCACAATTCCGATAACAGTGCCTGTCTTTGAGATCACTTTAAAATTATTTTGAAATATATACTTCTGGGTTAGTTTCGAACAGCTTTTGGTTTACTTCACACCACCTCTGTTGCAGTTGGTGGGTGTCTTTGCTATAGTCTATAAAAAAGAACCCTTAAGAGAAGAAGTGATTTTGAATATTTTCAGATACAGTGCTGGAAGTAAAGGATATATTTAATCAGGACATTCAACTTTCTCATTATGGTGGAATGGAAGTGGGAGATTCATGTAACATTGTAGATAGAATCAAATTATATCTGATGGTTGATGCGGTATATTTTTTTTTTCAGAAATGTTTTATGTACTGTGATAAATGAACTGTGACTGCACAGTTGATTCGATCTAAAGCGCAGCGGTGCGTTTCGTAAGTTAAAAAATAAAATATATTTACACACGGTGCTTTCACTAACGATTCTATATATAATATCTGCCTCCAAAGCCTCAGTCGTTGTAAACATAAATTTGATTGAATGAGAACACACCTCGCACAAAGAGAAAAGCGCGACAACAAAAAAATTATATAACTTTGTCACACAATTACCGATAAAAAGTGGCATTGGATTGATTTATTTTGTCTGCCGGGATGAACAATGCCAGGACTATATTTTTACGGCCCACCTGCCTTTGAATTTGAATATGCTCACAAAAAATGCTAGTATAATCCTGAAAATGCCAGGAGATTATTAGATTGATAACAAAACCCTTTCTCCAACAGATCGATACGAAACGTGAAGCTCATTTACCTGCTAATATCCATAACTATTCAAATTGAATTGTACAGGTAATGTTTGCATTATAACGACGAAGTATGTAATAAAGTACTCGTATTATTAAAACTGAAAGAGATTCTCTCCGAAACGGTATACTTTTATAGCCCAGTAGCTTTGTTTAGCTGAGAAATAATTTTTCAAAATTAATTTTTTTTTATCAAAATAAAGTAATTTCTCGTGGAAAATTTTTCATAAAGTTCACTTTACTAAGCACTAATGAATAAAATTCGACACAAAAATGTGTATTTAACTAGTGTCTGTTTCTGTTCCACTATAGCAACTGTAGCAGCAGATAATGGGTTTAAATATTAAAACTAATTAATTGTACTGAGAAGGAAGTAAACAAGCCGCTCTTCGAGCAAGAGAATCAATCATATGGGTTGTAGGTTAAATTCCAAGAGAATGGAAGTTGCTGTTATGTTGTTATGGACGACTTCAATAAAGACTGCAGGAATATAAGCTGGAGTTTTCGGATTGAGATTTACACAACAAAATGTACCTAGTCTTCCTTACAGGAATTTTCGTGAATGGTTGACATAAAGACTGAAGAGGAGGATACTTGATACACGAATGAAAACTTATTTACACATCCTCTTATCGTCAAGTTGTAGTAAATCTAGACAGGATCTGCTCAAAACTTAATGGGGCTGTTCAAGATTGCTAAATGAATTGGCAACCGTCTATAGGGTCAGGATATGTTAGGTAGGTGCCAAGGGGGAGACACTGCAGAAAATGAAGATGAACTTACAAAAAAGAAACTTTCCTAGGCTCAAAGCCAACATCTGATATTCCTTATGCTGACTTAAACATACTTTCAAAAGTACTCTACGAAGAACACCGTAAATAAATTTAAGGCCAAGATAGACTCATGTAAAGGAAAAATTGATTATTTACGCTATATATAACTAAGGAAATGAGAGCGAGTAATTTCATACTTTTGATACTGTAAGTTGAGGAAGCACCTCTACAATATGATTCACTAATGATCAAATTAGGAAATATGTCTTCAATTTTTGTTAACATAACAACTTTATTCAAACAATTATTACACAAACACATGGCTGAATTATCTATCAAATAAAACACTTCTTCTCAGGATTCATTCCAGATCCGACGGGACAGGCAAAGTCTTTGGCGAAGTCGTCCAAATTCTGCAAAGGTCCATTAACTTGAAACTGAGGCGGAGACCATTGACAATCAGCTGATGATGTATTCATAGTCGTAGCAGAATATTTTGCGCAGTGACGGATGGCTGACGATATCCAGAACAATTGGTAGGGAGAGTACTCCAAGCCAGGAAGACGTGGCTCTACCCCATTTTGTTGAACCAATATGGAGTAACTGTCGTAGGCGATTTTCATGCCGATCGAATCCGCCTTGGCCTCGTCTTTTGCATTTTTTTGGTCCAACTGAAACTAGAACCTAGATAAACTTGCTAAAATGTTTTTAACAATTATTTCTTCATCTGTGGCAACTTAATAACTGATTTTGGCCTTCTCTGTGTCTGGTAAAATTGCAAAAGTCAGATGCAGAAAATAATTATTTATTCTACGAAGTGAGAAATTGTAAAATGTATTTTAACGTAACCTTGATCTTATTGTTTTAATAATTTATAAATTTGCCAAAATGTAATTACCAATGTGAAAGAAACAAAAATCACTGTTTCAAACAAAATTACTGGCGACGTGGCTTTATGGACACTCTGTATTTATCCATATCCAGCTTATGCTGAAGGAATGACAGACAAACTTCTAACATAATGTACGCTTATACATACAACCATAAACATACGTACGCGCTTATTCGAGTTCCCAATCTCGAAGTCCATCGACGAGCGGCTTCTCGATACTCCGGAAGAATGTGGACCGTCCACCATAAGTATGTGCGACATCTCCTTGGCCATTATGGAACCCACCGAGCCATAGTTCATGTACTTCGGCCGGTCGCGGTGGTAATAAACGCCACCGAATATGCCCGCGGGGAACCCTGAGGCATACACCGAATTCATCGGTAGATATTAAATTTAATTTTAATTAATTGTTTAGAAAATCTAAGACATTAGATTAAATTTAGACCAGCACCTTCAATTTAGAAAAAAATGTGTGTGAATAAGGAAATCAATTTAATTTTTCCTTCTTTGAAGTTTAAAATTAAATTTTCATTAATTGTTTAGGAAATCTAAGACATTAGATTAAATTTAGACCAGCACCTTCAATTTAGAAAAAAATGTGTTTATGAAAAAAAACAAATGTAAGAAAGAATAGTTATCTTAGTAAGCTCCTCTATAATATTCTTTCCAATGACACTCCTGAATCGTTATTTTCTAATAGAGACAAACTATTTATTTTCTCGCAACTGTTTCTGAAATAGGGACAGGCACATTTTGTGTGAAATTTTCGTATAATATAGCTTGAAAATTTGAAGAAATCTACAATTTATGGATAGTAATATAAAAATTGTAAAAATAATCCCAATGAAAATGCAGAAATTTCCAAAATAGTCTTCTTGTAGAACAAACTTTTATTTGTGTGCCAAGCTGTCTGTAGAAGGATCATTTTCTACCATTAGCTTGTTTGCAACAAAAACAAAGTCGGTAATACTTTTCTTTTTTTTTAAACACTCATCGAATTTACAGCTCAACTACTTGAATTTGTATAGTATTCTTGTTTATAGATAACACAGACCCACAAACAAAAATCGAAAAGTCCTTTTTCCGAGACTAGGCGACCTTTATATTTTTGGGGTCGCTGATTACGATTCCGGTGTTCATATGACCCTACACATCTAGATTAAGGTCAAACATATTAACTCGAATGATACAATTTTTTTGACCCCGGATTTTGAAAGAGCGGTAAATTTTACGTCCGAGCACGCTTCGACCTGTTAGTCGAACCGACCACTGAAGGTCATTTGCAGGTCATCTAGAGGTTAATTCCTTCTTTTTATCTCTCGGCTAGGAATGGGTCTCGAACCAGTTGACCTTTGTGTTTTTAGGGTCGCTGATCACGATCCCGGTGTCCATATGACCCCATCACGTCTAGATCAAGGTCAAATGAAGGTCAAACACACTCGAATGATACAATTTTTTTCACCACGGATTTTGAGAGAGCGGAAAATTTTACGTCCGAATACGCCTGACCACCGAAAGTAATTTGCAGGTCATCTAGAGGTCAAATCCTTCTTCTGATCTCTCGGCTGATATATCGGCTAAGAAGCGAAACATTGTATATATTATATTTATGAAAGTTCAGGGAATTAATCTCTCCCTCACGGAAAAATTTTCATTTCATGAAATCACACTCACAGTCCAAAATAAGAAATCAGATAAGTGTTCAGTTTCGCCCTTACGGTTAGGAACAACATGGAAATAGCTGGTTTTTATCCTCTCTAGGGTGATTAAATATCGTGTGTTCCCTTATCATTAGGCTTATTTTGTGATTGTAGGATTTCGTAATTACTTTATTCACTCATTGTGTTAAGAAGCGTGTCTGGCTGAAACATCTTCTGTTTCTAGGTTTCAAAGCGTATAAGTCTCTTGCTTATTGAGTGTTGGGATTATGAGGGATTTCAGGGTTATGGGTTATAGAGTTCTGGGGTTATGATGTACACGGTTAAGAAACGTTTTTAGCTTAATCTTCTAAAGAAGTTTAGTTTCGGGATTCAAACGCGTAAAAGTTATGCTTTTTAGGTAATCTGAAAAATTATGGCACTTGAATTACGATGTTTGACCTTCATCTGACCCTGAAATAGACTCTCAAAGCCAGTTCCAAGATAACCAGTTGATGGTCCCCGAGATTTCCCACAACTTTTGTAGAGGTCATTAATCCGATATCTTGCTTCCTATACGAGATATCATCCGGGATACTAAAAACGAGGATTCAAACTACAGATGACTTGAAAATAACCAGCGTATTCGGACGTAAAATTTTTCAATCTTTCAGAAAAAAAATCGAGTTAATGTATTTGACCTTTATTTGACCTTGATCTAAACGTGATAGGCTCATATTGCACCGGGATCGTGATCAGCGACCCCAAAAACATAAAGGTCACCTAGTCATCTGATTTCTGTTTGTGAGCATGTGTAATTATTAGTAAAGGATTAAAGATTAATTATAAAATATATAATTATAATTTTTCCCCTACTTATACTGTCCCGTAGGTTTATTTATTGCTATTATTTTGTTTTATACTGTGACTCTAACAAAATATTATAAACATATTTTTCCCGTTGTAAACAAGAATGTAACTCCGGGCATATGCCCGGAGTATATTTAGGTAAAATATATACATTTATTTTAATGCTACCTCCAATTCCAATAGGTAATTTTAATATTTGATGTACCTATATCCAATTATTTACGTAATGTTGTAATTATGTTGTAGTTCTTAAACTACACCTAATAGGTTACAATTTACAATTGAATACTGTAAATAAGTAAATTATATACTTTTTTATTCTTAATGTGTTCATTGTTAGTAATATTGCATTTATTTGTTACCATTTTATCCCATAATTAGTTAAACAATAAGCCAGGAATAACGTGTCTATGGTACAACTTGGGGCCCTCAATTTTTAATCCGGGCAAATCAGACCAAAACAAATAAAAAAATAATAATTGTTCTTTTTTCAGTTTTTCGCTTATATCTCCGAAAATAAGCCTCTATTCGACATGAGATATACTTATCGATTTTGTTCCCGAAGAAATTTGCTATAAGGATATGCATTTGTGAAAGCTCCCAATTTTTTTTACATTACAACATTAGTTGTGAAGAAAAAATATGCAAAATTTTCAGAATTAAATAAAAAGAACGAATTTGACTGAAATTCGATGAAACTACAGGAAAAAATATACGCGATCCGGGCCAACAATTTCAAAATAGCGACCTACTGCAAAATTATAAAGTTAAAAATGGGAGCGCGTATATCTTCTACCCATGTCAAGATATCGAAATTGGGTAAAAAAAATCGAATATTGTCTCGCGTTTGCGTAAATTTCAGATTTTTAAATTACAAAGTAGAAAAGTTATTAACAAAAAAAAAGATGGTAACTAGGGTCCTTATCTCGGAGGTTTTTTAATAAACAGATTTCAAACCAATTACATCAAATAGTGCTTAAAAAAAACAAGAATTTAAAAAAGTGTCTCGGTCCGACCAATAGGAGCCGATAATTTATTTTTTAACGGTATTCTGGCAGTTCTATTTAATATTTTGTAATAAACTTGGGCTCGTTGAAAAGTAAAAGACTTCCTTTATACGCTGAATTTTTTTTTGATTGGATCCAATTTCAGTCAAATTCGTTCTTTTTATTTAATGCTGAAAATTTTTTTCTTCCCCGTAATTTTGCAATGTAAAAAAATTTTTGCCAGCTTTCACAAATGCCTGTCCTTTGTAGCAAAATACCTCATGTCGATTAGAGGATATAAGCGAGAAACTGAAAAAAAGAGCAATTATTATTTTTTTTCTTTTATTATAAACAATATGACACTCGACCTCTACAAATATACAAATTTAGGCTTTTATTCTGTGTATTTTTTACTTAATTTTAAGCCCATAAAATTTAAGTTAGGCCCGATTTTTGAGAAAAAAATCTAATTCGTCCGGACAATTGGCCAAAATTCTTCATATATTTGACACATTTGTATTTAACGGATGTTTGACGAGTGATTAAATCGCCTAGACTAGAGAATCCTATACTATCACTTATGGCCTTGTTCACTATTTTAAAAATATATTAAAAAGTGCTTATTTTTAGGTCACCTTGTAATACATTTTTACTCTTTTAAAAGTATTATAAGAAATACTTTTTGCAAATATACCATGGTTTCCAACATTTTATATTGTTTTATATAAACAATTTATTGTTCCGAGGAATGTATGTAACAAATCTCTGTTTATCTTTTAATCAGTTTCGTATATTTTAGTAGATTTAGATGGTAATAAACACCGGCGAATATGCCGCTAAGTAATCCAGGGTGATTTACAGTTAAGTTATTCATAATATGCAAGTTATAGGAAGCGGAGACGATCCGGGAAGAATTATTTCCAAGCGCTGTAATAGATTATCGTAAACTATATCTCATACTTTCAGCGATATAATTTTTCTTATTTATCTTATAAACGGTTTTTTATAAAAATAAAATGTTAACGCCAGTACGGAAAAAACATATATTCTATAATTGGTTCTCGTTTTACTCTATTGCTCAGTCATTATTTTTTCTAAAAATATTTTTTTCTAGCACCCAAACTACCCTACCCGACAACTATTACACAAATTTGTTTCCTTCCTAGAGTAAAAAAAAGTTATTACGATAACAATCTTCCGTGGGAAGACATATGAGTGAGTGTTTTCCAGGTTCTATTTTCTTTTCTGGATGTAGAATACACTCGTATATTGAATATCAAGTACATTTTTTTAATCAATTGTAATTCTTTTAACAAACATTCAAATTCATAAAAGGAATAAATAATATTTTGTGAATTTTTAGTGTAACATACATATTTTCTCAAATACTTTTTAAAATTGTTATCAAAAGCATGTTGAGTTTATTAATAACCTCTAATAATACTTACTCATTACGTTTTCCTTCGCGGAGTAATAAACATAGATCCCGGTGACAAAGCTGCTTTGCCCTAGCCAATTCTCCTTAACTGTTTTTCTCAGCTTTCCAAATGTCATGTTTAAGCTGATAAAATCCAAATTTAGGACCGACTGTAACAGTTTGTCTTCATCGACCTTTGCCTAAAAAACATAATTTCCCCACATATATCGATAAGAAAATCCATTTTAGAACATACAACGTATCATTTGGCAAATACTACAAAATTTGATTATTATTTGATAAATATAGTGTGTATAGTAAAATTTGGTGTTAAAAATACAAAAATTGCACACAAATAACAAAAATTTTCATGCAAATGTACTTCGAAAACGTTTCACGTTTTTTCAGACACTTCATCAGCCGAATGAATAATAATATTTAACCGCAGACAAAGTATAATTTATTTTAACGTTATTTATTACTATTTACCCGCAATCAAATGATCAACTCTGCACTGTTTAAATTTAAGCAGAATCGGATCCTGATCCGAAAACAACAGAGGCTAGCCTCCGCTGCTCAAGCTCTATGAATCTGCCATGACGAAGCCACAACGAATCGAACTATGTGACCTTGTGTAAAGGTATTTAGCGTCTATGGAGGAGAATAGCCTCCGGTGTATTTTGGATGGCCTATAAATAGACACAGAATAACCGAATATGTTGGAGAAGGTATGTGAAGTGTCTTTGCTTAGTGTAAGTGTATAACCTTGTTATTTATTTGGCGAAGTGTTTGACGATGGCATAGTGAATTTTTATATTTTCATTTTTAAGTTTCTGTGTGACATTATGAAAAAGCATATATATCAAGCAAGAAAGAGATGCAATTGTTAGAGACTACTTTTTGTCAGGAGCAAAAGATGCTGTTGCAAAAAGATGATATCAGTTACATTATCCTGATTTACAAAAACCGAATAATATAAGAAAATGTTTATAAGATTGGTGCAACATTTAAGAAGTTATGGGAGCTTTAAACGTTAATAATCTAATATTGGATGGAGTCAAACCCAGAGAGTGGAAAAACCAAATATTTTAAACGCCATGGAATAGGATCCTGGTACCAGTTCTCGAAGATTGGCCACAAGATTTCAAGTATGTAATATGACTGTATGGAAAATTATCAGATTATATCTATACATCAGAAAATACCGGCGTCGTAACTAATTGTAAGACGTGTGAATTTCTGCAAAATGGTATAGGAAAAAAAAAAGATGAAGCAGACTTTTAACTCAACTGTATTGAAGTATGCTTGGACAACAATGAAACAAATTTTGGACATGTCAGGATTGAGAAAACAAACTTATGATACTTACATGTTCTAAAGGTCAAAGGTAACCTTCGTATATTACCTATATTGTAACCAGATATTGCCAAATTGAGAAATATATGTTCTAGATGTATATGGTCGAAAATAGTAAAAGTTGTTTTTACAAATTCCAAGGGCTTCACAATATGCAAATAATTCAACGTGGAAGAGATGGGGTACACGAATAGTAAACAAATTTATTCCATACTTTTCTTTCACAGGGTTATTAATTTTACATTTAAATACAAAATGAAGCAGAAAATAAATAAACTTTTTATATACCGAAGGCAAAACTGAAGAAACAATTGACTTGCTTAAACCAATGAACCTAGTAAGGTTTCAATTATTTCAAATAGATGATATCATTATTTATTATATTGTAAACTATTACTACCAAAAATTAAGAACAAAACCATTTAAATTTTCCATTCCATATATAGACCAAGCAAATTAATTAATTTTTACTCGAAAAAAGTCCTATCCGCGAGATTATTGTAAAATTGTCTAAAGGAACATAATACAAGACATCTCTCGTCTCGTGAGTCAAAAACTTTTATTAGCTAACGTTTCTATTTAAACAAATAAGTGAGGAAAACAGTTTTTTGTTATTGCAAAAAAACAAGAAAAGTGCCCATTTTTAATTTGTTTATAACTATCGCATTTATTGAGGGTTTTGTCATACTTCAAAAGTATGACAAAAGTGGGCGCTGTAGGTGCAATAGTTTTCGCACAATTCTATTTGTTTATAGCGGAGGCTCCAAAAGTTATGAACTTTAAGCCTCTGTACAGGCGTTTATTTTCAATCAAACATTATTCTGAAAGCGTAATTGTAATCTTAAAGACGCAATTAAGCGACGTATTAAAAAATATCACTGTTTTTTTGACATTAACATTCTCAAATTGTGCATTAAAAAGCCGTGCGTTTTTCGCTTATAAACAATTTGAATAACATTGTTGCTATTTATGCTATCTAACCGAAAATAGATGCAATGGATAGCTGGCAAAAAAAATACAGTTTTAAAATAAAAAAAAGTACTTTCTACGACCAACAGGAGCCAAAATAATATATATTTTTTTAAAATTGTAGCGCAATTGTTTACAAATATTAAGACTTCAATTTTTCGCAAAATAAAGTTTACGACGTAAACTACGATTTCCCGTGAATTGCATTGAAAAATGTGGAAAATTAACGACTCACGAGCCCTTTAAAGAGAAGGTACTCGATAAGTAAACCGTCCGGCGGCCGGCGGCGGAGTGGTGGGGGTTTATTAACCGATTTTAATTTAAGAAGTCTCATTTTGTAGATAATTTTACTTCCTATAAGCTGTCTGTGAGTCACTTTTCGCCAAAATTGATGGTTTTCCCTGCAAAGTGAAAAAACTGTTTTCCTCACTTATTTGTTTAAATAGAAAAGTTAGCTAATAAAAGTTTTTGACTCACGAGACGAGATATGTCTTGTATTATGTTCCTTTAGACAATAATCTCGAGAATAGGACTTTTTTCGAGTTTCTCTTTTATTTTCGCTAATTTTCCTGGTGTAATAATAGCAGAAATCAAAGTAAAGGTAAGATCATATGAAGAATAAGAAAACTTCTAACTACACCTTCCTACATTGAATTTGGACAGAAATCTTTATTTACAATTTTAATTCTTCTTTGCAAAATTCATGTACCTATTTTCCTCACTTCATCACTTTTTAATTTTGAAGTTTCTTAGAAGTTTTGCTGTCAGTTGCGGGTAGTTATTTGCTTTGCTTGCCTGATAAAAATCCTTTCACCACAGAAACAAATGATTCCCAGGCTGCTAGCTCAAGGGGATTGAATTTTGATTTGAAACGTCGTCTTTCAAGACTTTTCAGATATAAGGACCTACAAATATGCCTTCTTTTATTTTGGCATGACACAGATTGGAAGACATAGTGTTCAGGTATTCAAAGGCGTCACTTGTTTTGTCAGGGGACTTAAAAAAATTGCGATAAAAATGCGATGGAAAAAATTGGAAGACATATTCGATTTCAGCAGGAAATATCTGTTAGGAATCATATATGTTTCAGAACAACATAAAACACGTTTCAAAGTCCTGATCGTGATACATTTTATTTTTTCATATTCTCGTCAAACTTTATAAAAAAATCTGGAAGCAGATTGGAATTTAGGAGGTGAAATTCTACAAGAATCACCTCCAAATGTTTGTATTACAAAGATCATGTCGACCAGTGTACTCAATAATGTTCATTTCATCTTACTTTTTCTACTTATGGTGTTCAAAATGTTCTTCATCTATTCCTTCAAGTTTTCTCTATATTTCCTTAAGGTTTTTTTCTTTATATCCATTATTATTTCTATTCAATGAAGCCATGTTCTTTATCCTTTGTCTATTTTCTCTAACAAGTGTTCATTTTGTTCTGATCTAATCACCATACTTAATCGTAAGACAATTTCTTTAACATTTCTTTCAGATGACTTCAATATATATTTCCTTTCTCACAATTCTTTATCTTTGCTATCTCGTCTTTTTGTCATTCCCGTAGTTCTTGCTTCTCCGAATGAATAAATCTTTTCTCATTCCTGACGTCGCAGATATAATCAGATTCGAGTTAGTAAACCGGTTGTGTCACAATCAATTCAAGTTGCGACTGTAAATGGTGAAACACTTTCATCTTCCGTTGTCTTCGAGCACGGGTCTCGGCGAATTTATATGCAGGGGAGGTGTTAATTTGCATGGTTTCATGGAGTGGCTCATGCCGCTTGGGTAAAATTTGATAAAATTTTATTACCGCGTTACTACTACTATAAACATTTATGAACCGTAATGTATTTATTATGTAGGTGGCGTGATACAAGTTGATGCTCCAGGGGCTGGCAATTATGTCAAAATTTAAAGTGTTAATTTATACCAGGTGGTTAAAGAAAAAATTCCCTTCTGGATTATTTTGGGAAACGTAGTCTAGTCCTAAGTCTAACTTGGTCTGGAGTTTAGTGCTAAGTGAAAAATTAATAAATTTTTATTTAAATCTGTTTAATGTTTACATTATTATTGACATAAGGTAACAGAAACATTATCTTGATTTTTTCCTTTTGATATGATAAGACTAACTGTTAACACAGCCCAATGTGAGAAATGCTATACGTTATATGCAGAGGCATATATTTGTTGACAGTTCCCTGGAATATTAACACAAAAATCATCTAAAACGACCCAAATTGCCGGAAATGTAGTTTTAGAGTTTCTCCTGAAGAAGAGTGGTAACCAGTACGGAAACTATTCAACCATTCTTGAAACCTAGAACTTTATACAATACGAGGTCTCCTCACAAACTAGAATTAAAAAAAAACTTTATAAGGCCTTCAACAAATTAATTGGTTTCTCTCAGCATAAGTGTTAATCGAAATTAATCGAGAATGCTTACGTTGTTCCTAGAATGATCTTCGAATCGCTTTTCCTTTATGTGCTTTATTTCTGCCTCTCTTTAGATTCCAGCAATAGTTTGCTAACATATTCTTGCCTCAAACACCTTGATATCTTTGTTCAAATTCATTCAAGTCCTGGTGCATTCTTTCTCCTTGTTCTTCACTAAAAGCTCCCAGATATACTGGGAATCAATCAAGATATGTTTACCATATTCTTTCGTGCCACATATATACAATAAATATTTACAACTCTTCCCCCTTATTTCACCATTTCTAGAAATCCTAAATTGAATTTGACTTTCTATTTGCAACAGAAATTTAAAGCGCATTTTCAGGACCTGTTGGTTCTAATAAAATAAATAGGCCACCCTTGACAAGAACATTAAAGCAGTTTTAAAATAACTTGACGCTATGAGAATATGTGTTCTTTTTTATATAAAAAATGACATGACTGGCGAAGGTACTTATTGGTACTTAATATTTGCTATTTAACTTTAATTTGATAGGCCTACAGTAATCAAGTACATATTTACATTTACTTACTACGTCATACGCCTGGTTCTCCCAATGAATCTCCATCAGATCATTATTTGAACCGATGTCCACCATGTTGTTCAAAATATTTTCAACAACCTTGTCGTCTAGTCCATACTCCCTTTTCATAACGATTTTAAGCTGCGTCTTGATATTCGCTGTCATTTCTTCTACGTCTCTCTTTGTATTTTCATTGAAGAAATTCTCTATATACGCTGCAGACACAACGGAATCCATCCTAAAATGTTTGTAAATCGATCTTATATAAAGAAAGGGTGAGATATTAATTTCAGTTCTTCCAAATTGGATTAATAACAAAAGAGAGTTATTATTAAGGTACAAGATCAGTAAATTAGTTTTTACAAATGAAGATGAGAAAGTATTTTATTCTTGTTTCAGATTACGCTTTCCTATTTTTGAAAGTTGCCGCTAGTAATAGCGCTTTTCGTTCAAAAGGTACAAAATGTGCAGAATGTACATCACAAGAATCAGTTCTTATTTTTTTTGTCTCTTTCATTAGAAACGGGAGATACGCTTCTCATTTTATTGTTTATACTTATTCAGTTTGATACAACCTTTTTTGAGGATATAGACAAAAAATAAACTATGTTGTAAGTGTATAAACAATGAAATGTGACATAAAAAAGCAGTTCTTATATGCAGATATTTAACAAATACCTTTTGTAACGTCTAAAGAATGTCACACAAATAAAGTGTACTGACCACGTTTTTACTTGAAAATCTGTGACAATTTATCTAATGATGGACAACATTAAGTAGGTTGGAAATTTTCCTCAATGTTTTTGGTTACATTGAGTACATAAGGGGATTGCTTCTATCTCAGTACCAAAAATGTAAATAGTTTAAAATAAATAAATTAAATTCAACGTGTAATGAGGATGGATATCTGCTTCCATTCATCTAAGATCGACTTACCGTTCTCGAGTGGCTTGGATGCATGTCATCCAACGGGGTTCCTTTACAATTTCCCCATACAGTTTTTCCAGGTAATCGTAAGCTTTGTCCAATAGCTTTGCAGGTAGGTAATGGATAAGATGTTGCAGCGTATGCCAGGCAATGAAGTTGGCCACTGTTCTGGAATATACGAGTACTATTGAATGGACTGAGATTAAACATGGACATGACCATTCGAATGGATCTTGAAATTCGAATGTATGATTTATTTATACTGTAGATTATAAATACAGGGTGATTCAGAACTAATAAAAAAAAATAAAAATTCTGGATGTACAAGGGACTTACAAATACAATTTTGTAAAGAAAAAATCAAAAAAGGGCAGTTCGAAAATGATTTAAAAATACACTTCTGCACGGGACTGGAAACTGGTCCACTGTAAAACCTGACCTCGCACAATGCGACTGGAATGGCGGTGTGATAATTGTATAGCACCTATTTTTTATCGGCAAATTCAACTGCTTTTATCTTTATTAATTAATAAAATTAATTTATGTTTTTAAATAATAAAATGATTTAACATACCCGATGTTACAACGACAGTTGTTCAAAATTTTATCCACCAACGTGTAAACACATTTGAGTCCATCTTACTAAGTTTATACAAACTAAGACAAATGTTTTGCTTCACCATAACACAAATGCTTCAATATAATACAAATGTTGTCTAATAAATTAAAACGATATCCATCAACTCCGAATTGCTATACACGCAAACCATTTTTGACATTAACTACGAAAAAACTAATTGTAAACACCACAGATAACAGGTAAACACTATCCCAACGACGACTGCAAAATGGATGTCAGTATTCGGAGTCGCTGAGGCCACGTGGCTCCCACGTGTATTGTGCATGACGCTAGAGACTACAGTTGTCCAGCTATGTAGTGGTTGAATGTACTATAACTTCAATAATTTTTTTCTCGGAAACTACATGTAAGGATCATACAAAATTTTTTTACGATATTGACTCCATTTCTCATGCCGCATCTATTCCTAATTTTTTTTTAATAAGTTGTGAATCACCCTGTATATCTAGGTGTACTTCATTTTCATTTTACTGTGTGGATCTGTATAAATAATCAATATTCTACGGATGAAAATTGCTTAAATGAATTACCCTTCGACCTTATATTTTTCGAGGCGAAATTAATTTCTATAGATTTCTTGTCTTTTGAGTTAGATATGGGCCATAGATATCGAGTAAAATAAATAATTTTTACTTTAAATGAAATGAGATTTCCCTTTGTATTTTGATTTTATGTAATTATTAGTCTTATTCTTATCTATAAAATCATCCTTGCAAATATACAGGGTGGCCCTATTAAAACACCCCATGCACCTGAAATATTTACAATGCTACAGTTTTTTCCGGAAAACTCCAAAACAGGTCGATTTTGGTTTCAAGGGGGACATATTTTGATCACAAATTCATGGATTTAGGATCATCCCCCTGAACGGGGTGTCAACGCCTTCAAGAAAGTGTAAATGGGGGGAGGGAGGTGGGTTAAGTGGCACGTCATTTTAAAGGTATTTCAATTCTCTTTTCAAACGTGTTGAAATTTTTTTGTTCTGCCTTAAAAATAATGTAAAAACCTGTTGGAGGTGTCGGTGAAATAAATCGAAAAAAACTTTAACACCCTGTGATATTTAATATTCTTAGGGGCTGCCGCCCCGTTTAGAGGGATGACCCTACATCCATGTATATATGATCAAAAGTTGTCCCCCTTGAAAGCAAAATCGACCTGTTTCGAGGTTTTCCGGAAAAACTTGTAGTCCAAAAATTGATAATAACGGAGTTAAAGGGTATCAAAGTTGAAAAAATAAATTCGAACTAATTGCCTGAACATTCGTATCCGAGGGATTTTTGGGGTGAGAAATTTTGCCACAACCGACCATTAGGATGCATTTAAACTGCCAAAACTTTTTTGTGCTACGGTGTATTTCACTTTGGGCTGGAAAAGTCTTTTCCTCCAACTTTTCTGCTCAAAAATGGTATACCTTTATTATCTTAAAGATAACAGTTAACCGTTTTCAACAAAAAAGCATTTAAATTTGTAAATCCTTAAAAAAGTTATTTTCAAGTCCACTGATAAACGAAATTAGGAGCAATCGTTTATTTGCAACAAATATGCCTTTAGAGGAAACAGTGCATTTACAATTTTAAATTTCGTTTATTTAACAATTTTCCTGCAAACAGAATTGACAGAATAAAAAACATATTTTCTAAAAACAATCTAATCAATCTAAATTAATCTAAACAATATAACCAATTTAAACAATCTAAAAATCTAAAAAAATAACTAATTATTATTATTGCCCTGTCTCAAAAGATATGTTTTTCAATGGAAAAATATATTCTGTACCCTCTAATCACTTTGATAACCTGTAAGTCCGTTATTTTCAATTTTTGGACTAAGGCAAGTTTACTTAAATGGACTTATTTTGAGCCGTATTGTATCTGGTGCAGCGTTGTACAGGCCCTTTAGAGACTCCCTGTATATTTAAATTTCATAAGAGACAAAAATTATTAAAAAGCAAATTTTGTATTTAAAAATGTAACAATCATAGGCTTTATGAAAAAGCGATGTGGTAATCAAACGGGCGAGAAAAAACTACCACTCTTTACAGCATTATCGTACATATTCTAGTAATATAATACAATCAAATAAATAAGGATGCATACAAAGAAATCATTAGATCGAGAGGGCATATTTCAGTAGGCGTTGACTTTTGTATATATGTAGATAAATTGGTCCATATTGACATATTTTCAATTAAGGAAAGTGTGGTTTTACGTCGAAGAACTTTATATACGTCCTTTCTATACAGGGTGTTCCATGATGAATGAGTTATACAGTAACTGTTGTATTGGAGACCTTTTGCCAAAATTGCCTTAATAAATTGTTACTGGTTTGCGATATACAGGGCGTTAAATTTCAAATTTATTCCTTAATCATCTTGAACCAAAACGGCATAGAAAATTTTTTATAATGAAAAATTCGAATCTGAAGTTAATTTTTAGATGTCTTGTAGAGAATGCTAGTTAAGCACTGTTGCATTTTTATGCAAAGCCTTACGTGGATTTTAAGTAAAGTATGTTGATTATTTTTAAGGGAAAACCATATATTTGCTCGATATCGATAAACCGCTTCGGTTTCGATATTCCCTATTTTAGATTCGATGTCAGCGCGTGGTTTCCGACCACTAATGATATAATTTCGGCATTAACCCGTTCCCAGTTTTTAAATCCTATTATTTTGATGCCCACAATCTACATTTGACCGTGTCGAGAAAATATTGTACATTCAAAGTTATTACAGAAGACTTAATCATTGTGTTAAAAAAAATGTTGCATAAATGTAATTGAATGTTCAATAATTTCTCGTTGTTTTTTCGTTAAAAAAATGCTTTAAAAAGAATAATAAAAAACTTGTCACTGAAAGTATTGTCCATTGATAGCCTCTACTTTTTCCCATCTTTCTGGCATCATTTTAATCCACGTCGGAAAAACTACACGTCTTTTGAGGCTATGCAAGAGTCGACCCAGTCTTTGGCATCTTCATAAGAATGGAAGTGCTGCTCAAAAAGGTCTTGTGTCATAGATCGGAACAAGTGATAATCGAAAGGAACAATGTCTGGTGAATATGGCGGGTGGACTTCCCATTTAAGTGCTTCCAAGTAGGTTTTCATCGGTATTGCAACATGTGGTCGTTGTCATACTGCAAAATAAGTTTGTCGTGTTTCTGCTCGTATAGCGGTCGTTTTTCCTTCAGTGGTCGGTTCAATTGCAATTCATTCGGTTTAAGCAGCTCATAATATACTATACCCAGCTGATACAGTTGGGACCATGGGTATTCGGTTTTGCCAACAATGTTGGCGGGCTTACCTCACGATTTTCTGCGCTTAGGATTGTCGTAGCGTATCTATTTTTCATCGCCAGTCACGATGGTGTGCAAAAAAACATCCCTTTTCTGCAGCTGAAGCAGCTGTTCACACTTACAAAGACACCATTTGGCATATCTCGGCTTCAACTCGTACGACACCCAATGTCCTTGATTTTAAATCACTATTAATGCTTTCAAATGTTTCGAAACTGTTGTGTGATCAACTTCTAATAACTCTGCAAGTTCAGCTAGCGTCTGACATGAGTCTTCATGAAGTAATGCGTATAATCCTTCATCTTCAGAACGTTCTTTATCTTCAACATTAAAATCATTATTATTTGAAGCTTCTAAACCAATATCTGCATGTTGTTTGCGACAGAGCCATAGTCGCCATAAGTCTCAACAAGAACTCTTGCATGCTTCAGCTGCATTCCCCATAAATACTACTATTCAGCTTGGTTATAGTACTTTCTTAGATGCTTTGACATCTTAAACTACACGCATGAAGTTCTGGTAGTGCCATCTGCTGGAAAACAGCGAGAACTTCTTCAACGTCCCTATAATTTTTATTTCATTTATTAGCCAATGCAATTAACTAACTTTCCACCCAAAATATGGTGGAAAGGTATTAAATAATGTCCATCCCGCCTATCAAACTTGTTTTACGATCAAATTTACAAAACCACCGCCTCTATTAGTTCACATTAACGCTTAAATAGATAAAAATGGACCATGTTTTTGAAAACTAAATATAAAAAAAATTTAGAAGTGTAAATTCTCAGTACCTGCTTGAGGAAGTCTTCAGGATTCTCATAAGCGCACCTAAATAAAGTGGTTCACTCACAACTATTGTATCATCATCTGTTATGCTTTCCGCGGGAAAGAGGATGCCGCTTAGGTAATCCTTCCAAGATATGTACGGGTACATGTGTTGCAATTCTGACAGGCTGTAAAGATCATATAATCCAGTTCTGTTCCTCTCGACAGATTCTTCATACTTCTAAAAAGGAAATTGAATGCCATAAAAATTATTTTTCACCAAAAACCATTACTTGAACCTTTAGAAGTAATTAGGAAATGCCATGTATCTAAATTTAGGAATGAGATAAAACTGCTTGCCTTTGCGAGTCTTAAAAGCAAGTCGATGACTTCATTTGAATCCTTACGCGCAATGTTTCCATCTATACCAAAAACCTGTGCTACATCTACCATGTAGTCCAAGTACATTGCTCTAGTTTTGTTTTCTATATTTGGAGGACTATAGGCAACGCCGTGTATCTAAAATCAAAATAAATGTGATTATACAGAACAGAGGGTTTCCTATTTAAATGTTGAATCATATTCTTTGTAAATATAGCAATAATTTTTAAATTTTTAAATGCGATGCTGCCTTATACTTACAAGTAGCAAAAAAAATTAAGACAGTAAGAAAATTTCTAATTTTTTTTAGTGATTTTTGAAAAGCTGTAACTGCATGAATAATGGTCGTATCGAGAAAGAAAAGCTTTTTGAAGCTTGAAGAGAAGATTCTAGTTTTGAAATCTTGATATGAGAAATTTTTTGAGTCTCTCTCGGTTCAATTAAAAGAAATACTTAATGCAAAGCAAAAATTTTACAAATTTCCTTTTTCTTTCAAAACTGCCCATGGGCTGAGAAATTTTTTTTCTGGCTTAATCAATGCTAGTGTCTTCAGTTTCAATGTTTTTTTCTATACGATTATTTTTCATTGATATCGTGAAAAGTCACCTTTTCTATCATCACATGAACTAAACTTTTTTTTATACTCAGTATTAATTTGAAAAGTGCAAAAAAATTATTTTTTTTGCTGTTTTGGAAAATCAACAACTGCTCTGCAAATATTGCGAAAAATACCAATGTTTGTAGGTTTTTTTTAGCTAAATATATGCCCATGAAGCTTGTAAATTTTATAATCGATCCGTCAAACCGTTTTTATTTCCTAAATCGTTTTATAAAAAATTACAGGATCATTTACTGTACTGTTTATTAAAATAAGTTAATGATGATTAAAATGAAAAAAAAAAACATTTCTGCGTTTTTTATCACAATTTCGCATTAAATACCTAATAAACATCAAATATGAAAAAAATCAAAATTTTGATTGAAATTGAATTGAATTGATTGATTGAAAAATTCAATTCTGTCTAATTTTTCAAAATTTTTTGTCTCATCATTTTCACAATTCACATTTCAATTTCAATTCAATTCAATTTCACAATTTCAAAAAAATTTATTTTTTGAAATTTACAAAATCAATTTTGAAATTTTGAAATTTTTTCATTTCGAAATATTCAGAAAATTATAAGTACTGAATCATTTTCTGTTCAGTCCTGATGCGATTTTTTTCTTCGCATGCCTATTTCATCGAGTTAAAATTAATTGCTGTAATTTAAGTTGATAGGTAGTGAATCTTCATACATTTTTTTACATGCATCAGTATACGATTTATTTATTGAAACTTCTCATGACTTAAAAACCAGTTTTTTTCAAAACTAACCATTTTTGAATAAAAATGATCTTTAATTTTATTAACAAAATTTTTTTTTAATTTTTTTTTTTCGATATTTGATGAATATTGAACACGAAATTGTGAGAAAAATAACGTAAAAAATTTTAGTAAGTAGTTTTCGCAATATTTGCAAAGTAGTCGTTGATTTTCCAAAACAGCAGAAAAAGTCATTTTTGCACTTTTTCAAATTAATACTAAGTATAAAATTTTGTTCTAGAACATACCAAAGGGCATTTGAAGAAAATTGAATGAAATTTGCAAAACCCACCTTTTGTTCGCTGTACGATCATGAGATATCAATGATAAAAAAAAGGTGACTTTTCAGTCAATAGTTGATACCTCAATGAGAAATAATCGTACAGAAAATTAAAAAAAAAGCTGTCCTTGGGCAGTTTTGAAAAAAATATTATAAAATTTTTGCATACAATTACTTCAGTTGCTATTTGAAATAGTAATATGGGACAAAGACTTTTAGAGCCGTTTCGGAAAAATATTTTACCAATTTTGATGTTCTCTATTAATTTAAACGAGCGACTTTAGGTAGAGGCAAGTTCAGTTTTATCGTCTTTCTTGATTCCAAGAATATTTACATGTACACGATCATATTTTACCCCCTTTAACTTTTTTATTTTTTGAGTTAGACAAAAATAGTTATGATAAAAGTTGTAGGGAATGTTTCTATGAGTTTAATGAATTTATAAAAATAGAAATTATACAGGGCGTTCCAAAGATACGAACCAAACTTATGTTTTTTAAATGGAACACCCTGTATATTATTGGATTTTCGAAATATCTGCCTCTGCCTGATTCCTACAATGTATATATGTATGTATGTTGTAGGTTTACGTAATAATTTGCTCAATATTCTGATTTGAAAGACTGAATCTCGCCATGAAAAATAAATATTAAAATCGCTATGTAGAATAAATATGTTTTCATAGAACTGAAATTTGACCCACGTAACACTATTTTCCGCACACCTTTAAAAATGGTGTATAACTTTTATAGCGTTGATGAAATGATGATGAAAAAAAATGATATAATGATACAAATATAAACCATATTGTTATCGCCTGGTACAAAAATTATATGGAAATGACACTAATAGGTGGCGCGAGTTTTGCCAAATAATGCTAAATAGACATTTACAAAATGAAGAATTTATAGGTTCGTAATGCTGCTATTGCTAACAACTATTACTACTTCTTCTACTGTTACTACTACAATTACTATTACTAGCGTCAACGGTACTACTACTACTATTACCACTGCCATCATGTTTGATATTGTTATTGTTTGTAAGTGGCGTTTTTAATAGAAGGAATTCACATCACTGGGCGTCAGAATATCCACACCAATATATCTCTATTCAGAGGCAAAATAGGTCCAGTACTTTATGTCTTTGATGGACTGAAATACAGTAACTTCTCAGAAGAGAAATATGTAATTTGATAAATGCTCTGATGTGCAAAATATTGTCTGGCAGCAAGACGGCGCTTCAGCACACAGAACAAATGTCGTTAAGCAGCATCTAGGCAATACTTATATTGACTGGATAAGTGCCAACGGTACAATTTTGTGGCTTTCCCGAAGTCCAGACTTAACCCCCTATGGATTTTTGTCTCAGGGATACTCTAAAGAATAGAGTATAATCAAGAGAGAACAAATAATGTAAATCACCTGAAAGAAATATATCTCAGAAAATCCGCATTTTAAATGAATCTGGTCAAGTCAATAATTTTAAGAGAAATTTAATTAAAAGGTATAATCTTTGTCTTGCACATAATAGGAGCAATTACTGAAAATTTATAATTACTACTACTTATTTAAAATAGAGCATAAATATCTAATATTATAATTTTATTTTCCATAGCAATTTCTACATTGCCCATTGCGAGATTCAGTCTTTCAAAGCAGAATATTGAGCAAATTGTTAAGTAAACCCACAACATATATATATATATATATATATATTGTTGGAATCAGGAAAAAGCAGAGATTACGAAAATCGAATAATATACAGGGTGTTCCATTAAAAAAAACATAAGTTTGGTGCGCATCTTTGAAACGCCCTGTATAAATTCTATTTTCATAAACTCGTTAAACTCACAGAAAGATTCCCTACAACTTTTATCCTAACTATTTTTGTTCAACTCAAAAAATAAAAAAGTTAAGAGGGGTAAAATGTTATATGAATAACCCTGTACAAGATATATTAGAACGCTCTGTACGAATGCCGAGAAGTGTTTTTACTGCATTACTAAACTTGATCTTAAATACTTACCCCTAAAATATGCTGTGTTTCATTATATCTGTTCTTATCCACAGTTACTCGAAAGAACAAATCAGCATTAACCCCTATTTTTCTAAGTCTGTGCATTGCTTTTTGCCAATTGAACTGATCTTCTTTCCAGTGATTCCCTTTTAGTGAAGGCCACCCACCAATACGTTTAAAGACACTCCTGATCCATGCCAGTCCTTCCTCTTCTATCTTAGTCTCGTTCATGCAAGTTCTGTAGAATTTTTTAGCTTGTTGGAAGGCGGCTCTATCTTCGATATATATGGGCTGTTCCAATATGTTTCTGATATTGACCTGGATCTCCTTTTCGGCAGCGACCTTCGTGGACTGTTCTCCGGGTTTCTCCTGGTCGTTTCCTCGCAAGAACTTGCCACAGGAAAACAGGTAGAAGTCCTCGCAAGGGTCTATGTCAGAATCGATGTAATCGAGGAGTTTCATGGAGGTTCGGACGCATGTGGCAGTTGTGCATACTTTAATTTTGTCTGAAAATTGTATCTGCATAAGAGTCATTAAAATGTAACGCTTTAAATGTCAACAACGAAATGTTACTCGTCAAAGAGGAGTTTCACAGCGAGTAGTGTGGAAATTTGCTTTTTAATAACTTTGTCTATAAATTATGAGATGTGACAACAATGCATACCGCAGTTCTCAAGTGTATATGCGCTGCGACTATCTCGTGACGTTGTTTGTATGCAAATTAAAAAAAAGTTAAAAAATCAGTTTTCACGACTGAATTTGAGAAAACAAACTTATAAGATGTGTTTCTAGAGGTCAAAGATAGCTTATTTATAAATATGAGCCCCTTCCAAAGTTACACCCTATATACAATGTGTCCCACTTTTCATGGAGCCACCCTGATATCTCGCTCACCTTATGTCCGAATATTTGGAACTTTGGTGGTGAATATACAGGTTGTTACAAATTCGCTTTCACTACAGGGATCTCGGAAACGGTAAGAGATACGAAGAAGCTTAAATGGGGCCAAAGTTGCGGAACCAAGGGATCAACATTATGCCTCTAACATGATTAGTTTTCGAAAAATTTGGAAAAAAACGAAATTTCGCAAATCCGTTTTTCTTTAATTTCAGTCTTGTTTGAGGTGATATTGACAAAAGAACTCTTTCTCATGGCAACTTTTTGCCCTCTATCGAATGGCATAATCAATTTTTATATGTATCGCTTCGTCCCTCCAGGACCATCATCAACTTCATTTTTTTATAACACGACCCTGGAAATTCTATTACATTTTTTGCAAGGTTTCATGACCCCCAATACTGTATTGCCTCAGCTTGAACCAGATTCAGACGTTTTATCTCGAAAAATTCATCTTCAATGTATTCGTTCCAAATTTATCTAGTTTTTTTAGATTTCTATGCTTATTGAATTATCATACACTCTAAGTGTCGTTAGACCCTGTGAAATCCACCTAGTTTTTTTAAATTATTACCATCACACGTTAAAATAAAACATTATTAGAGTTTTAATCCGGTACTCATAGTTATTTCCAAGTATCTCGAGTGCTCAAAATTCAAACAAATTTCTATTTAATTTTTTTCAGGATATTCATAAAAAATACATCTGACATGCTCTTTCACAGTTGCGGTTACAGGTATAATAAATTCCGATCATATTATGATTATCGGAAATGTTTTTGAACATTTAGGTACTGTAATTTTTTAAAGTATAATATTTATTTGGAGTTTTGGTTGTCATATGCATCTTTAAGAAATAATTTGTTATAATGAAATTAAAATTGTAGTAATATTTCAATTTTGATGCAACAACTTATCGGATTATGTATAACTAGTTGATGGAGATTAAAACTCTAATAATGTTCTATTGTAACGTGTGATGGTAATAGTTTAAATAACTAGGTGGATTTTACAGGGTCTAACGACACTTGGAGTCTACAATAATTTAATAAACATAGAAATCTAAATAAAAAATTAGATAAATTTTGAACGAATATATTGAAGAAGAATTTTTAGAGACAATCGTCTAAATCTGGTTCGAGCTGATGTAGTACACTATTGAGGGTCATGAAAGCTTGCAAAAAATGTAATAAAATTTCCAGGATTAAAAAAAATATAGTTGATGATGGTCCTAGAGAGACGAAATGTTACATATAAAAATTGAGTATGCCATTCGATAGAGGGTAAAAAGTTGCCATGAGAAAGTGTTCTTCTTTTTTCAATATCACCTCAAACAAGTCTAAAATTAAACAAAAACGGATTTCCAAGATTTTGTTTTTTTTTCAATTTTTTTTTTTGAGCCATAATGTTGGTCCCCTGATTACGCAACTTTGCCCCCATTTTAGCTATTTCGTATCTTACCGTTTCCGAGATCCCTGTAGTGGGAAATTTGTAACACTCTGTCGAAAAACAATTTTTTTCAACTTATATAATTAGTTTGTAAAACGGCCTCTCAAATGAAAAAAAATCTCTGTTTTTTTATTCAGAATCATGTATTGTACTGGCATGAAATAATTCTACAACAGAATAATAAGGCAAAAATCCTAATTTGTACGGTTGTTGTAAAATACTTTTTTTTTTTGAAAAATTGACTCCCCTTTTCCATTTCAGAATCGGACGCCTCTAACTACATAATATGGTATGTCTAAAGACTCACATTATAGGATCACCAAAGCACAGTCTAGAAAACAGTAAATTACTGCCTATCTAACCTATTGATAAAAAATGGACCCTAGTTTCATTTTTTATGTCGCTTTAAGTGACCAGCGCAAAGACAACAAGGCATGGTGTTTCACCGTGGGATGACGAGAAAGAACTGACTGTTGGTCCACAAAAGAGGGGGAGTGAATTTACTGTTTTCTATACTGTGACCAGAATTTCAAAATATTCGGGCATAAGGTGAGCGATATATCAGGGTGGCTCCATGAAAAGTGGGACATATTGTATACAAGTGTTTTGTTGTTATACGTAGATTATTACACTTCCACCTAAAATACTTGTTGTGAGAAATAAAAATAAAATATTTTACATATGAAACATCATAAAAAGGATCAAGGAATGTTACACAAATGATTTTTTTAAGAACGGAACATAATTTATCCAAATATATAAATTTAAAAATTCAAAAACTTTGCTCTTTTAAAATAAATTGTAGGGAAAATTGTACAACTTACACAAGGTCAATTCCCTTTCCAGTATAGTTAAAATTTTGCTGCGTTTTAAAGTTTTCGATGTGCAAAATTAACGTTATCTCAATAAACATCCAAAATCAGTTACGTCACCATTTTCAAGTAAATTATTTCACCCTTATAATATTTTGACTTGATATTATTGCTTTAGATTCAAAGTATATAATACCTCAAAAGAATCTAAGTATGACTTAAAGTTAATAACTATCGGGTGTCCCAAAATTCACGCAAGATTTGAAATCATGCGTCATTTGTGCGGTAAAGTGTTGCCAACGAAAAAAAAAACAGGGTGACTTGCGGACAGTTCAGGGTTATTAAAAATGGAGCGGTAGATAAAAAAACAACGCGTTTTCATTGTTGAGTAATATTTTAAAAGTAGTGAAGGTTTGTCAGCTACAGTTTGCAATTTTCATACAAAATATGGTCGGAATAATGATTTAACATCATCAATTGTGAAAAGATTAATTGAAAAATTCAGGCAGACTGGATTAATTAGCGATTTTAAACACTGGCCGTCCTTCAACAGATGAGAATGGTGCTGGGGAACATCAATTTGGAACAGTGGTCAAGAATTGGACACTTCGAGAAGCTCTTTACAGCGTATTCTAACGAAAATTTTTTACAAAGTTCAATTGATCAAGAACTAAAGCCTACTGACCACGTAGAGCGAAGAGAGTTCGTTAAATGTATTGTGAAACAACATGTGAATGCTTATGTTTCGAACAAAATCATCTTCGGCGATTATTTTCATTTTGATGGCTTCGTTAATCGACTTTGTCGCATTTGGGATTTAGAAAATCTACGAGTGATTGCTGAGAAACCAATGCATCCACTGTTTATTGCGGATTTTGGGCTGGAGGCGTCATCGGACCATTCTTCTTCGAAAATGCAACTAGTCAGGCAATAACAGTTAATGGTGCTCACTGACGCGACATGGTAATTCAGTGTTTTGTGCCAAAAATGCAAGATATGGATGTAGACGACATGTGGTTTCAACAAGACGATATCACATGCCATACAGCCCAAGAAGCAATTCAATTACTGCACAGTCATTTCCTGGTCGTGTAACTTCCCGTTATAGTAATAGAATTGGCTAACAGATCATGCGATTTAATCCCGTTGTACTTTTTTCTTTGGAGTCTTTTTGAAGTTTAAGGTTTATGTCAACAAGCCCACGACGACTCACGCATTGAAAGAGAAAATTGAGCGCTGTATCAATGAAATTCAGTCAGATTTATGCAAAGCGGTGAATGGAAAATATCGTCAAAAGCGTGCGTATGTGCAGCTATACATAACCCTATACTGTATATTTCATAAATTGATAAAAGATTTACAAATTCTAATTAAAAACCTGTGTTTTCTATAAAAATTACTTCTAGCATGAATTTTGGGACACCCTTTATAACCTTACTTAAAAAAATATTTAATAAGATAATAGCTCAGCTTAAAATCACTTACCAGTAAATAACATCACTGAGGTTAAAATGCATAATAAAACTACTAAACCAATAATAATCACGTTGTAATTTAACCGTGATCGAAAATAATACCATTCCAGGTCCCCCGAATGTTTTGTGTTATTCTTGAAAATCCTGTAAAATGATATTAACATAGACAACATTACCCTAATTATAATAATATACAGGGTGTTAATTAAGAATGTATAATAACTTCATCAGACGATTATTTGAGTGATTTTAAGACAAAAAGTTCATATAAACATTGGTCCGCAGATTACTATTTTGTAAATATCTAAAACACCCTTTACCCAATTTTGTTGTAATTTGGCAGTGTTATTTGTAGTGTTAAGGGGCTAATTTAACCCTAACGATTAGATTTGTTAAGTCCAGTACCTTAACGAATATTTTCAATAATGTTTCTTGTCCAGGTCCAAAAATTTAACACCCTGTATCTTGAACACGAAGCAACTGCGGACCAATGTTTATATGAACTTTTTTGTCTTAAAATCACTCAAATAATCGTCTGTTGAATTTATTGTACATACTTAATTAACACCCTGTATATTGAATAAATATTGGAAATACAATCTTTCACAAATTTCTATTTTTTTTTTTCTTTAATAAAACAGACTTTACTCACCCGTTCTTCATTTTATAAACACATCCACAGTAGTTAAACATCACGAAGTACCTCATTTCAGGGAAATAACTATCCTAATTAATGCATCTTAAGCGTAAGTAATACAATTAAATTGTCAGCTGGAAGGTGCCCGCTTCAAATAACCTTCTTGGCCGGTCACTTTTCGAGTGGGCGTAGGTAACAACTAGGTTTATCGTATAATTAACACAATAACTAGGTGCCACGAGAGGAAAAGTGAGTAGTGTTTAAG